AGGAGCGAGGGAGCCTCGGCCGTGGGGATGCCCCCTGCTTACAGACGATTTGCTACAGGGTGCTACTTGTGTATTATATATATATATATTTTTTATATAATATAATCGGAGGGAGGTGATTTTTTTTTTTTCCTGCTCTGTTTTTGGCCTACACTTCCTCTTTCTCTCTCCCCGTCCTGGCAACCTTTGCTTCCATGGAGCTCCTTTGGGCCTTGTCCTTCGTGCACGTATGCAGCGAGCAAGATCATCCCCCTCTCTCTCATTTAAACTGAAGCACAGACAGACTGTGGAGACTGTTAAAAATGCCCATGTTAAGCCAATTACTCCGTTATCCCCAGGCCTTCAAGGGGAAGGCGCTGGCGGGAGGGAGCTGCCCGAGCGTGGGGTCCCCGCCAGGGCGGCGGGCGCGTGGACGTGCCGAGGGTGGTGTCACCTGAGCTGGCACCGAGAGGTGACACTCTGAGGAGGGCGACGTCTGCAGCTCGCCCTGTCCCAGAGCCGCCACCTTGCTCTCCGTGCGCTTCCAAGCTCCTGCTTGAGTCACACCTCCACTGCTTTATTTACAGAAGGTAATGGTTAATTACTGAAGTGTAAAAGAATAAATACTTCCCATAAAATCCAAGCTCATTCACCTTTCCAACTGCAACAGGCTGAATAGGTTTTTTGAAGTCAGTATTTAAAGCTGTTTAAATGAACTTTCTGAAATCGTTAGTTCTATTGAGTATGAACAAACTATTCATGGGAGCTGCCAGGACAGGGGATGGAGAGAAATCCCGAGGAAAGCCAGGCCCGTGAGCGTGGAGCGGGCGAGCGGGAGCGGAGCGGCGGCTCTGGCGTCGCGCTGGCAGCGACGGGGCTGGGTCAGAGCCGGCTTTTCAGGCTCTTTGGCTTTTTATTTTAGCTTTTTTCAATTTTACTCTTTAAATGGGTTGAGGGGAGCATAGCAAGTTGTTCAGAAGGAGCATTTTGAAGTTTGGGGGTTTGGACTCGCTGTGTTCTGGGCTCTCTGTACGTGCCCTGTTGTGTAGAAGTACTTGGAAAGGTCCATCTTGTGCCCAGGGACATCTGCAGGGGGGTTTGTGCAGGCCCGGGGAGCCAACGCTCCGGGCGGCCCTCGGGAGGGTTTGTTTTTAGAAGGACAGAATTGCAGGGGTTTGTGCCCGACCGTGGCTGTCCGGGTGAACCAGGACGAGCGTGGTGAGAAAGCAGGTGGGCAGCCTTGGCCGTGGGTGAGTCAAAGGAAACGCAATTCTGGCAGGTCAGGAGGAACAAAGGCAGGAAACTAGGAGAGGTCAGGAAAAATCCCTGCTTTTTCATCGCTCACAAAAGAGTTTTGTTGCTGCTGTTTTCTTTTCCTGCTCCTGATGCAGACTGCAAGGGTATCTTTGCTTGCAGCTTTGTTTTCTATATTGCTTTTTCTACCGATCAGATTAGGGTAAAATCACTTGCTGAATTCCTGATGAGATTTGATGACCCTACAGTAAAGTTGTGGTAACTTCCTTACATGCTAAAGATGTGACTCTGGTGATTTCTTTTGTTTTGGGAAGCATGATTCCACCACAGCTTTATTTTTTGCACCACAAGTTTTCAAATAGTTATAAAAATTTATGAAAGAGAAATAGGCTTTTTTTTTTTCCTGTCCTAGCCCCACCTGAAATATAAGGGGACTAAGTAAAACGTTATTTCTAGCCACAGAATGTATCTGCGTGGGTACCAGTGCCACGAGCGCGTCCCCTCCGCAGGAGCACCGAGGGTGCCGCAGTTGGCAGTCGCTGCAGGAGCCAGGGCTGCCTCCGGCCTTGCCCTGGCGCAAGGAGGTGCCTGGGGCCCTCCGGAGCACCCCTTGTTCCTGAAGGGAAGAAAGGGGAGAATCCACCAACTGGAGAGAGAAAACAAGAGCTGAACAAGAAGCTCTTTATAATTAATCTTTTTATTTTTGTGGTTTTTGCCATTACATTCTTCCCAATGGCGTATCAGTGGTGCTAGACTGCAATAGCTGGTATAAGTCTCTCTTCTGAGCAGTGGAAACCCATTTTGGTAAAGGGCACTTAGCTCACTTCTCTTACTTGGCAAGTACAGCAGGGTGCCAGGTGTTAATTCTCAAAAAGCTTTTGTGACTGGGACATGTATCAAGGATTCCAATCACAGGTTGTTACTTCAGGAAAAATCTATTGGGGTGGGAGAAAAAACCTTTATTAAATGGCATGAACTTCTCTGTCTGAATGTAGTAAAATAATAATTAATTATATACTTTTAGGGATAAGAAATTAAAATGCATATTAATTAGATTAATAATGAAAACCTCTATGAAAGTCTGTGCTATGAGTTACAAGTAACTGTTTTGTGAATTTTTTTCTTTGGAGAAATGCATTTCAATAGACCGCAGGTAGCACGTCTGCCGTGTTTGCTGCACAGCTTGTGCTGATGTAGGTTTGATCCTGAGCTTGCTTCTGCCCGGGTTCCTTGTTTGGGGGGGTTTGCAGGAAGGACAGGGGCAGGGAAGGGTCGGAGCGGGTCCCGTGGGGCTGCCCAGCAGGGGCTCAGCCCTGCGGCTGCACAGCCAGGCTGCGCCCTTGGGCTTTTCCTCGTCCCTGCTCCTCCTGACGGCTTTCCAAGGAGCAGGACAGAAAGTCTCTTGCAGGAAGTCCGCTTGTGAATTGGTGTCTAGTTTAGGTGTGATTTGAATGTCGATCGCAGTGTCTTTGTGGTTGGATTCAGGCCAGCCCGAAGCCTGGCAGGCTCTTTGTGGAACTCTCTAGTACACAGGACACCCAAACTTGAAGTTCACTTTTATGTAGTTTAAAAAAAATGTACAGTGACGTAAAAAGAAAACATCCAGTGCAAACCCTTTATACAGTGGAAATCAATACAGTGTTCCTTACAATAACCTTATAAAACATATTTTAAAATAGTGATTACAGGTAATACAATTGAGATGATGCTAACTGAAGAACTTCATTTACTGCACTAAATAATTTCCTAACTAACTTTATCTGTTGATTGCCAATATTTTAATTACTGATGAAAAACTTAAAAGATAAGTATTGTTAGTTAGAATTCTTTATAACATGCTAACATGGAACCTCAATAGCATACAGTGTTGACTGGATTAAACAAGATAAAAATGAAGCCAACTAATAAACCGAGACTGTGATCCCAACGTGCTTCTTTTGTAAATGGTCTGATCGAAAGCTGATCTGATTGATGGGCAGGATTCTACTTTTTTTTTTCCTTTAGTTTATATTTGAAAATTGGAATGATTTGAATTATTGATGATAATATGCATTAGTGTCCTGTTAAATGTAGTGTTAGGCACCTTTTTATAGTAATGGAGGACTAAGATGAGCCCGTATTATAATGCATTGCTGTTTCCTGCTGAGAAAGCCCTTTGGGAGCAAGGGGGTGTAAATCAGAGATGTCCTGGATAACGGAAAAGCAGAGTCGTGAGGTTCCGCTACTCTGGTTTAGGAAAAAAGCAAAAGATTTAGTGTTATCTGGTTAGCTACCACATTCAAATAATCAAACCAGCTAGACTAGCACCCAGAGCTCGAGCACAGGTCCTGCCGCCCCGGCTGTGCGCGCGGCCAAGGCCGAGAGGGCCCGTGGGCCGGGACGCCCCGTTCCCTGGGAAGGGCGCGCGGCCGCGCGGCTCCGTGCGGAGCTGCCTCCTTTCCCTCGGGCGCCTCTGCATCGCGTGAGGGACTGAGCACGTGCTTGCCAGGGACAGGGGGACCGGAGCTCCAACCTCGCTGACGTGGGAGGTTCTTCCGTGCACGCAGATGCGCAGGGTACATACAGCATCCCGGTTTGGAAGTCTGCTATATTTTCCCAGATGGAAAATACCCGTTTTACAGTACCTGCTTAGAAGAAGTCAAAACAGTTTCACAGTAATGAGGCCTTTTGTTTGTTTGTCCCTGAAATAATAGAATTCCTTTAAGAATGTTGAATAGAAAACTTACTCAACCTTTTTAGAGATCTAGAGAGACCTATGTTGCAATCTGGAGATATCTACAGTTTTGGAGTCTTAATATTTCCCAGATCTCCAGATTTCCTGCCCTGCAGGATACCATGCCATTGGATAACATTGAGGTCCTATTTACAGAAAGAAAAAAAAATTGCTTATAGCTAGAGGAATTACAGCACTCCAGAAAGGTGCCTGAAATCATCATCAGGCTGTTAAAAATGACAGATGAAACCAGATTGTGCATCTAAAAATCCTCTTTAATTTTATCTTTAGTAATTCAAACTTTTAGTAGAAGACTATAAAGCAAGAATAATTAATAGATTGGTAAAAAGGAAAAAAAATAATGCCTCCTCTTGCAATTGATGAAAGAATTGTTAATATTAAGTGGTAGACCATATGTTCCTCCTTGCCTCTGCTGGGTAAGTTTAAGCATGGAATATGAATGAAAGACGTTACAGGAGGGCCAGGCAAAGCAGTTGGCCTGGGACACAGGAGGTTAAACAAATGCCACCAAGCTTCTCCTTCCCCGCGGGTGCTGTTCCTGAATGCATGCTGGGTAAAAGAATACAGGAGGAGGAATGAAGAAGAAACTGTAGGAGGAGGCACTTTTTAAGGAGGAGCGTTCTTCAGGGTGGGGAGAAGAGTCGTGTCCTGGAAGACTCGAGCAGGTCCCCGCGCAGCCCTGTGGGGAAGGAGCAGAATGCTAGGAGGGATAGCAATGCTAGGAGGAGCTGGTAGATTTAACTAGATTTAACTCTTTTCATCCCTGAAATGCCACTGTCAGCATTTTTTCTTGTTTTTCTGTCAGAAAACCTGGTAGTGCTTGGGTAAAAAGCTATGAATCCTTCCTTGGCCTTTGGAAGGCTCTTGATGTCTATCTGTAGCAGGTAGGAGAAAACTGGCTAATTAGAAGATGACTAATTTGAACTCAATACACAAAATCTTCATTTGGTTCTGACCCATAAAGCTCAGCTAACATTTTAAACCTTGGTCCCCAGTCATTTAGAAAGTCATAATCAATATCTGAGTCTGAGGAGCCCGATTCCAAAGAACTGAGAGACTCTGCGATGGACTCGGCACCTTCGTAGCCATAGATGTGAAGTGTGTCATAGGGTAGCAAATCCCTGTCGTTGTCAGCTTCATCCTTCTTAACTTCAATCATAATTTCCATCTCTCCAGCACCAGAAGTTACATTTTCGGAAGGTTTTTGAATCTGTGCATACGGAGAAGGCACTGCTTCTGGCTTCATACCATTCTTGCGGACAGAGTTGAGTACAGACACATCATAGCTCGTGGTGTCCATTTCACCACCACCTTCTTCATCGTAAGTGACAAGCTGCTCATGAATCTCTGCCACATTCCTCCCAAGACCACTCAAGTCCTTCTTGTGTCTCTTTCTTAGCAGAATTAGCAATACAATTACTACAAAAAAGAAAAGAAAAAAGAAATCAGCAAGTGTAAATAGAGGTGAAAGGGAACAGAGTGAACAAGTTGCATTTCAAATATATAAAGTCTGGAGGTTTGTTTTTTTTTCTCGAGGGAGAAGAAATACAAGACATTGCAGGATTTGTCTGTTCTCAAAGCAGTTCAGTCTGTACCAGAATTGTGACTCTTGCACCAGAGTCACGAGTTCAAATGAATAGTGCCACAAGTTCATTGAATAGCTCCATCAGCCATTGCCTTGATCAATAAATCATTTTATGGCAGGCATTAAAACCTGTTAATACCGTGGCACTTGTGACGGGGACCACTTCTAAAGCAAGAAAAACCTCTAGTAGATTCCAAACATAGCAAATAGATGATCTACTAATTTATTAGAGATATATTTATGTTCATTGGACTGGTTAAAGGCTGTCTGGACTACTCTAGCCTTTGGAGACAAGAATCCTTTTGTTGCTGTGCTGGCACAAATTTCTTGTGTTACCTGTGTGTGAGCCTGGTAACGATGACTCCAGTATATTACGTATATCTGGAATAACCTTTCCAATAGAATAAATACAGTTTAATAGTTGAAAATATGCCAACAGACCTGGTAAAAAGAGCTAATTAAATGGTTCAAATAGAGTATTTCTGCTTTCACAGCAATTTTATAGGATTTTGTGGACTCAGTTAAAAAAAAATGTCCACATTTTAGATCAGAGAACATTACAGATTCAGATACTTACTACTGATTGTGAAGATGCAGATGAAAATTGCCACCAGTGCTTGAATACTAACTCCGACTTGCTTAGTTCTTTCCTCACAAAAAGTAAAGTTGCCTTTTTCGTTGCACTTGCAGACGCTGATGACCAGTGTATTTGTGCTGCTGAGGTCAGGCTCGCCGTTGTCCGAGATGATGACAGGCAGGTAGTGGATTTTTGCAAGTTCACGATTAAACTGTCCGTATTTGACAGTGATATTAGCTGTATTATCTGGAAGAAGTAATAACATATACTTAAGTGATAATCTCCACCCGATTTGCCCTATAGATACATCATCTAGATTAGTGTATCATCTGCTGAGACTGAGCAAGCCTTTAGGGAAGCCAGTCAAACCTGCATGGTGCCAAAACATTTTTGTAGTAGGCTAAGCCTTTAAAATAGCAATAGCTCAACTGGGCCAAACTTAGGTTACAGCTGCAGGTTTTTTGCCCTGCATCCTAGTCTCTCACTTGGGATAACTCAGAAAATCCTGTGCAGGGATACGCTACCGTGATTCTCGATCAAAGAGAAGTTGCTGTCCTCTGTGGCCAGGGAGTATCTGAAGAAACCTGCAGGTGACACTTCATCCTTGTCAGTGGCTGAAATCCTGACGATTACCTGGAAAGATGGAAGAGATCATAATTTTCCGTATGCGTTGCCTCCAGTGCTGAAAAGGCTTACAGTAACTAAATTACAGTGTATCCTGTGTAACATTTTAGTAAAGGGCAAGACAAAGACATTCATGGTGCTCCTCTTGTAGTTCTTCCAAGGGAAGCTTGAAAAAGAGCACTGTCTTTTCCCTAAAATAGTAATTTAACTTCACTGACAAGTGGGAGACAAAAGACAAAGTCTTGGATAATTAAAGCATTAAAAATGCCTCATACTAAAAAGCATGCATAATGAATGCTCGAGATGGCTCTCTTCTGAAGCCTGACTTATTTAGAGATAAGAGTCTAAGTCTTTGAATGTTGTTGAGACTTCCACTCCTGAATGACCGCTTTGTTTTTGAAAACTTTGACCTGCAATGCAGTAGATGTGTAATATATACGAGATGTGTACAATTATATCCCAATAGTAGTTTGGTTAAGGTGACATCAAGTTATAGGTGAGATAATACCTTGTGTTTTCTTACAGATTCTTTCCAAGAGTCCAACCTGTTCCAAAGACTGCAAATTAATCAGACATGAGATATATATGTATATATATATGTAGGCTAAATATATGTGTCTGAGCCCAAATATCTAAAAACACAAATGCTAAACAACTTCTGTATGCAAACAGTTGTCCTGATAAACACTACAGTAACGTTACATGTGGCAGTGTGGCAACTGCTGATCTTTGCCTTGCAAGTGTTGATGCGACTTCACAGTTCAATTGCTAATGCATGCACATACTTACAAGCCTGGAGGGGAGGAACGGTGCAGTTCATGTGGGTAAGCAGATAAATGTCTATAGCTTAGCAGCCCTAAAGAAAGACTTCTGACCTCAGACAGTTTGGAAATTGCTGAAAATAATTTCAGATCAGGCGTTTGGCTGTGAAAACTGAGACTAATTATTTAACAGAAGACATGTTTCGCTTACACTTGCAAGTCGATAATTCAGAAGTAAGGAAAAAAGCTCCTTTCTCACCTTTCCTGGTACAGCATTTTCGCACACTCGAGGTTCCTCAAGATAAACAAGTTCTGGAGCATTATCATTTACATCAGTAACTGTGACGTGGACCTGGGCGTGTGATTCTCTGTCAGAAAGCCGGCCTGAGAAGAACCAAGAGCAGCACATGTCACAGAATCATTATAGACTCATAGAATCGTTGTGGTTAGAAAAGACCTTCAAGATGATTGAGTTCCTCGCCGTGAGGAATCGCGGCGATACGTTGGCGCCTTTTTCCCTTGCTTGTGTCCACCCGTGTGCCTGCTCTGTGATGAACGAGGAGGGTTCCTAGCTCCATCCTTCAGTCTGACTTCCCTTTGATGGATTCCAAGTATTTCCTAGCAACTCTCATAGTGGACTAAATTATCCAGACTTTGTGAGGAAGAAGAGATAAAAAAGGTAATTGCTAACAGCTTCTTGTTCTTCAGCCTCTGTGACTGTAGTGTCCAAGATGATCCCTTAGTGCTAAGGCTGCTGGCACAGAGGCCAGGACAGGTCCTGGCCCTGGCGTAGACGCTGTCACTCAACGTTTAAGATTATTGTGCAAGGCCTGTGAGCATCCGCTTCATTTGTGCTTAGTGTGAACAAGCTGTCAGGCTGAGCCATTTCTTTTTGATAAGCAATAGTCTTGTTGTAAAGTCAAATTCCGATTTATTTTAAAGAAGAAAATGAACAGTGCTTACCATCCTCAAGGACTTCCTGGGCTGCTACTGTTATGTTGTAGGAGGCACTGAATTCTCGGTCCAGAGGTTTAGGAATCTGAATAATTCCCGTATCAGATACTCTAATGTAGTCTCCGTTAGGACTGGCTCTTCGGCGACTAAATCTGTTTTTTGTTTAAAAAGTGTTATGTTAATACAAAGGTTAAGATAATAGCAAAAGCATCTTAGTTATTTATCAAATTATTGGGATCATTAGTAATTTTTCAATTTTCAAATAGAATTACTGAAACTAGGGTCATGTTACCTGATTTTCCGTTTAGCTGCATCAGGGTCATGTGCCCAAACTGAGCCAAGTGTTCGTTTTTCTGGATCATTTTCCCTCACTTTAAAATTATATGGCAGCTTGGTGAAGACAGGAGGCTCATCAACATCGATAACCTCAATGGTAACTGTTGAGATGCTCCTAGAACCACCAGATTTAAAATAGCGAAGATCAACTGTGGGATCTGTTGCTTCAATGTCAAACCTGTATTCAGCAACTTTTTCAAAGTCCAGGGGCTAGAAAAAAAAAGACGAACAGATATTCTATTTTGTTGATATCTAAACCTTGTGCTGGCTGTCTATGCAAACTAAAGCTCTGTGCTTGGCTTTTCTTTGGAAATGCTAGCAAATTTCAATTACGTTCTTGGGAAAGCATTCCCTTCCCAAGCTGCCCTTTCATGAGTAGGGCGGCTTGAGCAACTTCTGATTTTGAACAAATGTATTCAGCATTCAAAGTTCAGCAAAGCTTCTTGGTTTAAATAATTTTCTTTTTATATTTCTGTATGAATAGTCACCCTTCAGAGTCTGTGCTATCTCCCCCCAGGCTACATCCGACTCATCACTAGTTTAAGGAAGGAAGGTGAGGGCCAGATTCTCCTCCTGCAGGCCAGGCTTTCTGTTCTGCAGTCACCCAGGCAGATTCCTGGCTGCACTGACCGATAGCTAGGACAGGCAGTGACAAACAACATCCACTTCCTTCGGGATACGCACGCTGCGTGTTGCGACTTCCCGGCATTTCCACTGCTATTCCTACTTGTACACAGAATCACTCTTGAAAACAATGCAGTGATCTTTCTGTTACTAGGGAAAAATACCTTCTTTGGCCTAATGATTCCTTCGTTTGTGAATGGATTTGCTACAATTTCGAAGGTGTCCCTGTAATTTCCTCTGACAAAACTGTATTTTGTATTTCTATGTTGTGGTTCATCAACATCTTCCACTTTGACTCTGCCAACTTCTCCTCCTACTGAAACATTTTCAGGAACTTTAAAGTGAAACGATGCTGTTAAAGTAAACAAACAAAGAAGAATGTGCATGGAAGTTAGTACTTAGTTTGAATCATTTGTATTTTTTAGACATATAGAACAATATTTCCCTGAGAATTATCAGTCTCTACAGACACCTTGCACAAAATCTTGACAATGTTTAGAATTAGTTAGACTTTCATAAAAAATTTATCAAAAGTGCAAAGTGATAAAGTTAATATCAATCTTTTTCTGCTCTAGGGGTGCATCAGCTGGATTAATGTAGCTAGAGCTGAAATACAGAAGCACCTCTGAGTATGTGGAATTCTTTCATCCATTTTAAAGAAACAAATGATTGTGGTGAGTTCCGATATCAGTTTGTTTTAGCCCTGCCAACCCTTGGTTTGCAACTGCTACACTCCTGCTTTATACTTACGGTGCTTGAATACTGGGAAGTTGTCATTGATGTCGCTTAACGTGATAATGACCGTAGCTGTGCTTGAATCCCCAGAAAAGCCTGGGGCATCTTTTGCTTTAACAATAATTTCATATGTTGATTGATTCTCTCTGTCCAAATCAGCCCTGGTTGTAAAAATCACACCTTTAAAAGAACAACATTGAGAATGGTTAGATCTTGTAGCATGTCTGACATCTCAATTTTTTGCTTAAGTAGCATTTTTAACAATGGTGTTTTTCTAATGCTAGGAATGCTAGAAATCTTTTTATTTATTGGCATACTTGAGAGGTTTTGTAGAATACATTCCTTTAAACTGATCTTTGCTTCTTACAAGCATAGCTGATTCTAGCAGTACCTAAACTTTGTCCCTATAGCACTGAGGTCCCTATAGCACTTGGCTGACTGCTACTTTATCTGAGCTGACAGACTTTCTGCTTACAAGTGGCACTGGCATATTTTTAAGCTTAAAGAAGACAAGCTTAAAGGAGAAAATTTAGGGACAAAAAATGGTAAATTATTGATTATAAAATTGGAAACCACATATCAAAATCAAACCAATAAAATGCACATCTGGTTGTATGTAGTGACCTGCTGCAGGTCCTAGCTGATTTGGGTAGCTGATAACCTAGCCCTCCTAACTGCAGAGCTGCAAAGCTATAGGGAATTCTTTATGGATGGAACCACCATCTACCTCTTGCTTATTTTTTCATAGCATTTTTGTCAGTTTTTCATATCAGTAATGCAGTTCCTGGATTTATGTATTCACCTTTCTCTGCTTGGTCACAGGAATGATATCTTTGCCAAACTGGAAACATAAACTTAAATTAGCTCCCAGTCAGTCTCTTCCTTAGTGGGGGAAAAAAACAAGGACTTTTTATCTTCTCATTTAGGTCATGACACCCAATATCCCAACTTTATTACTTCATTTCCAGATGCAGACAGGGGCACTGCGCCAGTATGAAGGAAATATCTTTCTAAATTACAATCAATAATTGAATTTGTAATTTGTTCTTCACCTTGTCCAGAAAGAAAAAGACTTAAAACTGTGTTTCCTTATAAAGCATAAGCTAGAAGTTTGACATTTGCATATCTGACCTACCAGAGTCATCAACTGTGAAATATTCGTCTCCCTTAATGACTTGGTAGGTGACCGTGGCATGACCTGTGACTGTTGGGTCATCAGCATCTACAGCTGTCACTTTGGTGACCGAGGTTCCTAGAAAAGAATTACCCAGATAATTCACAGATTCTGCTCTTTAATCAGGGTCACAAAGGGGAGTGAGCGGATGAAGAACGTACCTACTGGTGACATTTCTGGGACAGATCCATTGAATACCTTTTGTACAAACACCGGGGCATTGTCGTTGATGTCGTAAACCTTGATAATGAATTTAGATGGTGCTTCCAGCGACTGGTTATTTCTTCTGTCAATAATGAGAGCTGTCAGCTCATACTCTGCTTTTTTTTCTCTGTCTAGCCTCTCAAATGCATATACATCACCACTGTCTTCTTCCACTTTGAAGATGATGTTGGCATATTCACCCTCAAGAATATACTTAGCGTTGTTGTTCCTTACACTCGACATGATCTGGAAGGCAGAACACAAAGAGGTAAAAGGCAGCTTTGTCACCTGGATGCAGAACAGTTTTAAGCAGATGATGCAGCTAACCGAGACCCCTGTCAGATTGAGTGTGAGGCCAGAATAGCCATCCAGAAGTTTGATGGCTGCTGGAGCATTGCTCAACACACAGTAGCTACTTTATCCAGGATCCTACTACTATCCTGCTTTATATAGGATCCTACTTGCATCCCATATCCAGGCCCGTAGCATGAAACTTGGATCTAGATGGAAACTTGTTTGCTTATAGACTTTTTTCTTTTTTTTATTATATATCACAGTTCCTAAATATATAAATTGTTCGTGCAGTCATAGATGCAAGTATTAACCTCACTGCGGTGTTCAGCACTGCCCTGTTGGTTTGAGCTGTTCTTGTTTGCAGGTAGTAGCAGAGGCCTGCCCAGGTCTCACCGAGTTGTGGTATCGCATCCATATTTGCAGCGTTATTTGGCGTTATTCTGTATGTTGACATTGTTCAGTGTTATTGCGTATTACTTAGCATTTAGCAGAACTCCTACCATATTCCACAGCTTTCCTGTCAGTAGTCATATGTAGTTCCTTTATGATCAGTATTTTAGGCTTATGCTTATGACAATAAGATTAAATTTTTACCCCCTAGGGCTTAAATTTTAAGATTATGTGCAATGAAGAAAGGTATGGGGTAAAAAGAATGAACATTAATCAGTTTATAAGAGTAATTTAATCCGATTCCAAATGGTCTTGTGCATTATTTAGTTTGATCTGGGTGTAATCTGATGATTCATCTGTGTCTATACTTTCACTTATCTCAGTACACTGATAGCAGGCTTAAACCACCGTTTTCCGTGCACTATATTAGCATTCTTATTTCAGCAGACTATTGATAATTGCAGGTTTGACCAAGATTTTCCAGTCTTTTGTTACTGATGTTATCATAAATTGCAGCTGTTTGTTATTCAGGATTTGATTTATCCTGTAGCTGTCATTTACTGCCCAATATCCTTTCATTTAGGCTTTCTATTTTGAAATGTGTCTTAAAGATTTTCTCTCCTCATTCCACGTACATAACCATGCTTTTGGCTGCTAGGGCTGCTGAAGAAGAGCTTACAGCCCTGGAGATGTGAGGTAAGAAATAAGCCCACCTTGGTCTCAAAGATGGGAGTAGTGTGCTGCCTTGCTTAATTTTTATTTGCTTGTTCAGTGTAACAGAGGCAGACTTTGAAGATGGCCCTTGCTAAAACTGAGGATGAACCTCCAAAAGTCACAAAAGATAAACCCAAAACCTAGCAGGATGTTCCTGCAGCTGCCGCTCCATTCTGCCATGCTGCTGCCATGGCCTTTGTGAAGGGTTTAGCGAGTGCTCAGTGTTGCAAATGCAACGTGCGGAGCGCGGGCACTGCAGGAGTCAGCAGGGCCATCCACAGCCGAGAGGCCAGAGCCCAGCACGGAGCGGGTTACCCTTGTTGAGGGCAGCTCCAGGCATAGAAATGTTCTCCTCAGTCTCCTGCTGACCTCCTTGAGACCAGGGGTACCCCATGTCAGCCAGAGCCGCCCGTGGGCTCTTTGCTGCCTCCCTCCCGTACTCTCCGCCGGGAAGCAGCGCGGATGCAGGAGGGGCTGCGTCGCTTTGCCAGGACAGCCTTGACAGATGCTCATTGCTGTGCATGGGAGGAAATCGAACAACTGCATTTATCTGAGAAGTGTCAAACTGGTTCAGTTTGAAAGACTAGATAGATTGGAGGAACTTTGTCTGGCTGATGTGCAGTTAATCATAGGATTTTTATGAGTGCTGCCCTGGAGAAAATGAGTTTGCAAGCAGGTCAATGCTCATTGCATTTTTTTTTTTTTTTTTAACAATTAATTGCTTTCACTTTGTGAAACAAAGTTTTTCGGTTGTGTGAGGCATGTCCTAAACACAGCATTTTTGGTTTGTGTAACCAAGCTGAGAGACAGAAATTCTGCTTTTTAAAGCAACAATCCTGCAACCAAATACTCCAAGTACACCAAAAATTGAATGATGGATGAAATGCAGAAGCATGAAACTGCAATGATACATTAAGCATTTCTGAGCTTTGTTGTTAGAAATGAGGTACAAATTCAGTAATTGTGTCTGGCATTTTAAGGTTCTGCTGTGGCACTGAAGCACAGTGGATGGATGTGGAGGACAGACAACGTTTTCTGGAAATATGGTGCTTCTTGGCAGAGTAAAAAGGGCCCTGAATATTGTGTGGGAGAGGTTTTCTTGTTGTGTTAATCTACTCAGGTTACAGATTATAAGTCTTTTAAACTGAACTGCTTTTGATTCCAACTAAAATATGAAGTAGATTATCTACTAAAGGAGGAACTAAATTGAGGAACTACTTTGTGGTGCTAACTTTTCCAGTAAAAGGAAAATAATTGACATACATCAGCTTCCAGGTTTCCTTCTAACTTTACCCCGGCATGCAGTGCAACTGGTCCTTCGCTTCGGCTGCTCCACGCCTGCCATTCTCTAAAATTTATTTGTATTCTTCCCAGGAATTCTAATCTCCTTCACATCACTCTAGATTTACTCTGTCCCTGTGTTCTTAAGAATGTAACATGTTATTAAATCCCATTTCTATTTCCTGGTTTTCCTTCTATTTTGCTGAAAATGCAAAAAAGGGGCAACATTCGGGACACTCATTTGCTGCTTGCATTTCTAACTAGTCATTGACAAAAGACTATTATTTACCTTTCCAACATGGTGTGGTAATGGAGTATCAATCTCTTCTTTGATATGCATTTGGTTCCATATCCAGTCTCTCTTAAGTCGTTTATGACCGGGATTGTTTGAAGAAGAGAAATTTTCTTTTATTTTCAGACCTTCTTTATAAGCCAAGGCTGGGGCCAAGAACAATAGAAAGAGTGGAATAAAAGTCTTCATCTTCTTCTGTAGCCTAGAAAGTAAAATAAAATATGAGAAATGTGTAAATAATAATGGAATCACCTTAACCAGAGAGAGCACCCATAGAAAAGCAAATGGACTTTCCTTCTCTAGGAAGTTTCATTACTTTCTTTACTTTTTCATCTGGTCAAACTGATAATATCAAGCTTCTTCCAGCACAAAACTGTTATAACCAGATGATACATCAACTGTTTAAAAAAAAAAAAAAAAAAAAGGGGGGGAAAAAGACAAAGGGAGGTTCCCAGAGCTGGCGTTAAAGCCGGCACCTCCATGAGGCTCCGCCGTTAACCAACGGGCAGCTCCGGTAGCCGAGATGCCCTGGGTGGCAGCCAGGCCCTGGACACAGGAGGCCGCTCCGTGGCTGAGCCGGGTCCACGTTTCTGTTAACGCAACTTGACATCATGTGTTCCAGCCTGACAGACCAGAACGCAACGTTTTGACTTTCCCTGACGCAAAATACGCTTTAATCGGTATCTTATATGGAAAATATTGATTTAGAATAAAACCTGTTTTTTGGTGGAAAAAAATGATTCTTGTGAAATCTTCAATCAATTCCAAGCACAATGTAGAAAATTATCTTGCTCAAAGAGCTCATTTATTGATTAGATTCCTTCTCTTTTCGAAGATTTGACGACATGTATAAAGTTCCTTTATCCCTTCTACTTAGGTTTTACCATATGATAAAATTATTCTCTGATGAAACCATTTTTAAATCATATGTTAATATTAGCAAACTTTAGACCTGACTTTCACATCAGATTGAGAAGTTCATTTAAAGTAGCAAAGCTGATTAATTTTCTTTCGAAATTTTTCCTTTGCAATATAAAGCACTGTGAAAGAACTTTAACACTCAAATAATCAGACTTCAAATTATACATAAATGCTTTTCCATTAGCTTTTAGGAGCTGTCAGCATGTACATCAAAAATGAAACAGTTAATTGCAATAAAGCTAAGTTGACATCACACAGTTTGCTAAATGTAAGATTACATTAATATTTTGGGCAGGAAGGTGGAGAGATGTTTCCAAAATTGCTCTGTGGTAACGAGGCAATCAGTGTTAACCCATGGTTCATCATCATTATCAGTAAAAACATTTTATTCCAATATGAAGTATTTTCTTTCCTGTGTATTTTTCATGTATGCATTTGTTGTATAGAAGCTGCAAAACGTTCCTTATTTGCCAATGTGCAGGAAAGCACCGATGTAAAACAGCTTTGTTCCTTAGAAGCTAAGCTAAGGCTGGCTAGTGATAGAGAAAGCACTTGTGAGAAGACTAGGATGTTGCTTGGCCGTATGTGTGATGGTGCTGGGCATTGTGGTAAGATCCCTAGGCCCAGCTTTAGGCACAGGCCTTTCCTCTGCCCTCTGCACTAGCTGGAATCTCCTTAAATAGATGCACGTTTCTGCTGGAACTTGAGCGAGCAGGTCCCGGTGAGCCGGTCTGCGGGCCTCAGGGTGTGCGGTGGGTTCCCTTCCTCCGAGCGACCGTTAATGGATTCTCTGGCGACGCTTTTGCAGCGTCTCTGCTGCATCGGGTCAAACAGAGACTAGGACAGAAGAGCCCCTTGCAAAAGCTGCCCTCTACCTCATCCGTGGCATTTTTCAGAATTTCTCATTTGGCGGAAGTGCCCATTGGTTTATTCAAATAGCTGAGTAACTTGCTCCACTCCTGTATTTTCTTTCAGCAGGTGATTAGTTTTCCACTAACATTACTCATTTTTTAAATTAGGTTATTTTAGCAAATAACTCTTGGTCTTCAGGGCACCACAGACAGCTAATGGAGAGATTTGGGTGTTCAAACTGATTTATGGAGCACGTGGCTCATGTCATATAGTTTATTTTTGTACATAGGGAGTAATTATTAGAATTGTTTGAAGGAGAGATACAGACAAAGCAGTGCTAATTAAAAGTTTGCATTTCACAAGTTCTTTTGGAAAGTAATCAGCTGTAACATGGAAGAGCAGCAAATATAAATCGGGAGTCCATGTAGTGAAGCCTCATTTGATGGAGAATTCATATGAACTTTTGTTAACTTTTTTGAGACATTTGCCTGGTATCTGGTGGACTCCATAGTTTTTCTGGCTGCCTTCCTCCTTTCTCTCTGCTATTCCCACTCCAGTATTCCTAAGTAGCTCCATGCGAAGAATCCTGTTGAATTTACACTGGATTGAACCCTATGATACAAAGCAGCTAACACTTTTTTTTTTCCCCAGAAAGTAGTAAATTTTACTTTGCACAATCTAAACTCCTCCAAAATTGCCATGCTTAATGAAGCTGTGCTAAACTTAATCCAAGAGCAGAATGTGGCCCAGTGCCTCATAGAACCCTCAGTTTCTAAAACTTAATCCAAGAGCAGAATGTGGCCTCGTGTGTGCCTCATAGAACTCTCTATCTAGAGAGCCTCTGTGTGCCTCTAGAACTCTCTGATTAAATTATCATCTTTATCATATTTAAGTCCACTGGTAAATGCATGAATATAGTAAGCAGTGAGAAATCGAAAGATGAGCTCCAAAGAATACGAGAAGGATAAATTACCTCTTTCTTTGCAATGTGTATATCGTAATGCACATTTAGGTGAATGCACGGTTCTTAGGTAAGCAGGAGAAAACACTGTTAGAAGAAAGCAGTTCATAGCAGTGCTTCATGCTGCCTTTCCAGGACTTGGAATGGCTGGACAATCATGAACTGATAAAGCCTTCCCAGGGAGTGAAAAGTACTGCAGTTAGGTAAAAAGCAGCATTACCTTCAAACAGCACATAGGAAGCACACAGGACTTAAATGTATTTGCCAACTCTTGCCAGTGGACCAGGGTCAGAGTCGCAGCAGCATCTCAGATTTTTTCTCCCAGTCTCTTCATCTGATAATTAAGCAGCTTCTAGCTGAGCGGCTTCTAACAGGCCTGGAGGAGGTGGCCGCCAAGCACTCGGGCAGGCAGAGCCGTTCCCCGTGCCGCAGCTGGTGTCTGCGCTGCAGGAACGGGCTCCTCCGCCGCTCCCTGGAGCGCGGGCTCTGGCAGGAGAGCTGAGGACGTGCAGGGGGTCAGGGAACTAGGGCAGATCTTCAAACTCGAGTAACTTCACTTCGAAACTACGCTCTCCAAGTAAAGTGTGCAACATGATTGGGGCAGTTGTATTTTCTTGTTGCTTTCTCAGACACAACTTTATTTTTTGGGTGGTTACTCAGCGTTTCTGTCATTTCTTTTTTATTGAAGCTGACCTATTCTCATCAAGGTTCATATTTTAAAATAGATCTGTCCTCCAAACAGCGTGCAGCTTTGTGTTCTCCAGATTATTGAATTGATTTGAATGCACATTGTGCATGGCTACCTGGTAGGGTATTTTCCATTGTCCTTTTGTCAACTTTATGCTTTTGAGAAGTGGTTTCCACTGATAACTAAAGCGTGGAGTGCAAAAACCTACCTGAAAACAGATTATAAGATGACTTTTCATATGCATGATGGTACTTTCGAGTAAATAGCCACTCTGATGATTAAACAGTCAGGAGTGCAAATACCTACCTGAAAACCTGTTGCAAAATGATCTTTTCTGTTCATGATAGTAGCTTAGATTAAATAGACACTTCAATAGTATCTTAACTACATATGTTATTTAAAAAAAGAAGTTGCAGAGTATTGCAAGAGCACTGCTGTTTAGTGCTGTTCAGATGTTGATGAAGCAGCGCTGTGTATCACTGACTAAGGAGATGGTTTTGATTCTGGCTCTTGTTTTGTTATTTTTTTCTGTCGTCTGAAAAAATAGAACTAGTTAAAAATGGAAGGGAGGCAAGTACTGTTTTGGCTTTCATTTTATTCTTTTTTAAAAGAAATAAAGCCACCTTCCAGTCTACTGAATTAATGTCCTTGCACTAAGCAGCGGTAAGAAGTAGTAGTAAAAACTGCATAAATGACCCCTGCATCTTCCAGACTCCCTGGCTTGCATTTTAGCTGTCTTCTCGCTGAACGCCAGCTAAAAGCTGCAGTAAATACTAAGGGAAGGGCATGTGAAACAGCGGATGCGCCACGCAGGCAAACGTGAACTGAAAGCCATAACTGTGTTTGAAGAGGATATTTTCTGTAAACAGAATGATCTTAGAGAAATGAGTGAGGAACAAAGTTATAAGAGGTCATGAAGATCTCTCTTCTTCCTTGTTAAGAAGCTTTTAGGGAAGAAGGAAAGTACAGATTTGCAAGTGGACTGTTTATTAGAAGATGCTTCATCATAGATCTGAAGGAAAAACACGTCAAGGCCAAAGTCAGGTGGAGGATCTGATCTCGTATCAGTAAATTCTCCTGACTTCACAGGGGCTTGTTTTCCATCAGTGGTGTGCCTGGTAATATTTTAGTTGGGTAGATAAAAATAAAAATGTTAGCATGAGTGCAAAGAGAGCAGCCTACGGCAGGCTGTGCTTATTTTGATTCATCAACAGTGCATGACTACGGACTCAGCTGTCTTTGCAAGCCAGAATGATATTATTTTAATTGAAATCCCAAGGATTTTCAAGAGGAATTTGAGAATTTTGTGTGTGAATTGCTCTGAATCTGATATCCAGGAGGCACAGGCAAATGATTTTGGTTTTGGTGTTACCCCGACTCAAATACTGTCACTTACAGAACTAACCTTAAAAAGGAGCCTGATAACTGTATCAGTAAAATTATAACATTTACTGTTCTATACTGCGGTATGTGAGACTTAGTCAGGTTGGTCTCCCTCACCCTGGCTCACAAAAAAGCAGACTTTGTTGAGGGAGTTCGGAGTTGGGTCTGTTGGACAGGCAAGATCCAAGAATCTCGAAGTTAGAAGGGCATTTAACTTGGTTTCTAGTTAATGTTGTCTTAATGAGTATTTCCACAGAAACCATGCAAAAGTGTATTTGCAGTTTAGGGTTTTTTACTATCTATACTCCTACATGGCCCGTGTCTGATAAAGGAGGGATTAGTTATAGGACTATTGAATGTGTTTTGCTCATGTAGACTCAGTCT